CTTATTAAGCCCAGTTTGGTCTGGGCCCGAGGTGGGCTTAATAGCCGGCGACCACTGTATAGGAATTGTAATAATCAATTAGTCTTTAAAGAAACCTAAGCAGTGTAACTGGCTGGCTAAAATCCCGTCAAAATTGTTCATTTGTACTTTTAAGAGCCATGCTATTCTTAACTGCTTGGAACTTTTTTCCGCTTGATGAAATTCCCCTGGTTTTGTAAACTCTTCATCAAACGTTTTTCCTTGTTAATCTAGTGCAGAGTGATATTTTAAACCAGCCCTTCATCGACCAAGATTTCCGAATAACAGCCTTTGAGATATCAAATCCTCCTACAGATGAACCAGGTAAGCATCGAGTGCGCAAACATTTCAAAAATTTACGAATATTCGCTTTCCGTTGCGTAAAAGACATTGCCCACCCCTCACATTTATGTTTTGTCGACTAGTCTTATGCCTTTTTAGTGATTTATGCGTAACTGTTGTATGGCGACACTGTTTAATTTGGAATTCTTCCATCTACGTCGATTCTTTTTAGCTGCCAAACGTCTGCACCTGGACAAACCGGACAGTGCCACCTACGCATACTTATTTCAAGTAAGCGTCTTTTCCTGCCCCCCAAATTTTTCACTCTTCAGGCCTTTCGCTTAAACAATAAACTGGATCCCGCAAAATGCGTTGCGCATGGCATCCCTCCGTAAGTTCCCATTTAGGGCAGACTTTGTTAATGCGACCGCCAGTCTTGACCTCACACTAGATGACCTTCTCTGTTTTTTTGTTTTTCCGCTGACAGGAATGTTATGCGATCTCCCGCAATTAGAAAACTGACGGAAGGCGAATCACTGGTATTGGAGGACGGTCGTACGGTAAACGTTATTTGTTTTTAAAAAAACTCCTCCTCTAACTGATCTTAATCTAGACTTTTGATCAGCTCCACTCTTGTTTTTTTAGATTGCACCATCGGATGTCACAACTAGTGCGCCCACACCCCAAAACATTTTGGGTCAGTGACAAGCACTTTTGTTTCATAGAAAAAATTTTTGAGCTTTTAATTTTGCCACGAATATGGATATTATCAGTCCAAACAAATATTTTTGGGGTCTGTCCAATGTTTATATTTGATTTGAAACCCAGTTACGTTTCGGGCTCACAACTATTTCGCATAACCATCTACTTGTTTCGTAGTAGTAGGTATGTGTTTTTGCTACTTTGGAATCGGCTGCTTCCCAAGTACGACGCAGTCCTTCCACTTTCATTCTTTTGGTGACATGCGGTTGCTTTTTGGCGTAGAGGCTTTTGTGCATCTTTAAAAATGAATTTCCTTTAATCTCTAAGATTCGATATAGAGTCGATATGCCATTGTATCCCCTTCGTGGTTACTATCAGGTAATTATTGTCGCCCATTGGTTGTATATCTCATCTTAATTATCACGCGAAAAAACATTTATATTATTTCCTGTTTTTACACGCTCTACTTTTTAAGTTATTTTTCCTTGCTCCTGATATCCCCACCCATTCAACCCGTATTGCCACCGTTCCCATATTACAAAAGGATAGGGTTTTCGCGTGCTGTTGTGAGCCCGAAATGTAACTGTTACTTCCATATCTATCTGCTGATTGACCACGTAATATTCATCAGCTGCCTACAGTCAGTACTCTACAAATGCTAAATGATTGATCAGAACCACCAAGATTGCAACGGAAATTACGAAAATAACCTAACTT